CTCCAAGGGCCTCCTTAGATCCCAGGCTCTGGATCGCACTGGAAGTAGAGGAGGAAAAAAAAATGTGGCCCCTTTGCTCACCTTTCAATTTAGAGTGTCCACATCCTTCCTCACACACAACCCCCTTCCTCTTTTTGATTAATTTTCCATTATCCTAACAACACCCTAGCACTTCCACTTGCAAGAACCCCAAATGCAAACCTATGCTAACTGTAGAATCCATACCTAGGTTTTATTTTTATGAAGGGGACTGCCCGTTCTCTGTTCTCTGAACTGCCTTTAGGAAAAAAAGAAAGTGAAAATCAAGTATTTTTAACCATTCATTCATTCATTTCTTTATCTTTAAGTCTGTAAAGGTATTTCCCTCCTAAACGCAGGCAGTGAATATTTTATTTTAATCTTGTAGTTTCCATCGAGACAGACCTTTTAACCCTTCATTCTCTGGCTCAGCCGGAGTCCCCCGCGCCAGGCGATCCGTGGCACGAGGGCTGGGACTGTATTAAGTCTCCCTCTTGGAGCTGTTTGTTGACCACATTCACGTTCAGAGCCCTGGAGCTAAAAGCACTTTACACCATAAAATAAAAGCACTGTCTTTTTTTCTCAAAGGTTACGTCTGGAGGCCACGCGGCTCATACTTCATACCGAAAACTACTGAAAAGACTATGAAATCCTCTATGATTTACACTCTCTCACTGCATTAGGGTGTAGATCTACTCGACTCTAAAAATACAGTGGGTTTCTAACCGACGTGAATATATGTGCATTATTTCAGAAAGTCTGTTAGAAAACTTGTCAACACATTATAAAGCATAAACCAGGACTTGGCTATTAAGTAGGGAGATCAGAGGCAGAATATATATTGCAGGAAGTCCTGGGGAGTCTCCTCCGCGGGCAAGATAAAAAGGGGGCGGAGGGGAGGGGAGGGGTCGTCTGTTGGCCCGGAGTTTACACGCAATGTCGTCATCAAAGGTTTGGTGAAGAGCCCACGGAGCGTATTACCCCCTTAGTGAAATCAGCGAAGGTTCTACAGCTCGAAATGAAGTTAACTGAACGGTCAGAAAATAATTTTAACATTGTCTTAATTTATTGCTTTCTAAAAGCCACTTTTGGAAAGGTAAATATACTTATTGTGTATCCAAGTGTGCTCGTTTAAAGTGACCTTTCACTCCTCTACAAAACCACCTGCATCATTAATCAATACTTATGTAATATTTTAAACCTCTTAAAACAACACATTTTTATTTCTTTAAACACACATAACAACACCCTCCCCATCCCCCACTTTTGGGCGCTTTAGCGAGCATCCAGCGGTCCAGCCGCGATAAGTGAGGAGGCGCCACTCTTAGGGGCGAACGCAAGGTATTGTGAGTGGGGGTCCGAGACCAGAAGGAACCAAATACCTCTACACAACCCTAGCTTTCTGGACTGGGAGAAATCCGGCTGGGGGAGGGGCAGGAGTGGAGGGCAGTCCCTATTTCACTGTGGGCATTTTATGATAGTGAAATTAAATATATGTTAATGGTGGAAACGTCGCTGCTTACCTCTCCATTGGCACCCAGGGAAAGCAGCTGCAAAACTGGGTTTTTAATGTATGTTTTAAGATGTGGTTTCAGAAGGAACCCCCTAGAATCTGAAACAAGTGCAATAACATAGCAGACCTACTTGTAACTAAGTGCTTAATTTCCTATTTTTTTAAAAAGAAAATCAATAAAATGTTGCCAGTTATTTATTGGAAATAACCACAGATAGCGGCCCTGATAGGTCCCGGTTTTAGAGAGCACACAACTGGGTAATGAATTGTAATTCAGAAGACTGTTAAATGTGAACCACAGAACCTTTCAGAGGTAATAAAGTCATTACTTTTTACACTACAGCCAACCCTGAAAAGCTTTATACACACCATTATATATAAATCATACATATATATTTCCACAACACACGTTAGCCCATTTATATACATTCTCTATATATGGACTTTTATGGATGGGTGGGAAAATATTTAAATTTGAAAAGCTCGGTTCCGAAAGAATCTGATTCACTATTGTTACCTGAAGGGACTTTTATTTAATTTATTTATTATTCAAAGGCCTCCCAGTTGCATTTTCTTCTTCCTTCTCCTCACCTTCCTTCCAACTATTCTTCTCCTTGCCTCGCTCCGCCCCCCTCCCGCCCCCCACCAAGGATATTATTCTTTTGGTCCCTCTAAGACTAGTTTAACCCGACCTCCCCCCCTCGCCCCCCAGAAAAGGCAGTAGTAGAAGGAAGATGCTGACCTGCTCCGAAGAACTCATGAAAAAGGGGAAATGGTGTAACGTACACGCTAGAGCTTTACTGAAAGTGAATCTTCCTGCTTCTTAAACAGGATTTGAGTCCCCCCCCCAAAAAAAAACTGGAAAGAAACAACAAACCACATTAACACAAATGCAGTCCAGCCCACATCTCTCTTAATGTTAAGCATCAAAACCTGTTTTTCTTCCTTAGAGGAACCCGAAGCTTTCCCAAGCTAGGCAAGCCAGTCATTTTCTAATAGGTTTGAAACTTTTACTAAGACAACACATGAATAAACAGCCGCTTTTCTGCGCAGCTGGGAGGTGGGTGCGCCAGCGCAAGCCGGGTCCCTTGGTTAAAACAACAAAGCCCCGCGCCGGGTGGGCGAATTTACGAATACAACGTCCTTTAGACTGAGGAGGGGGAATAGAAGCCACGACGGGTTGTGGAGCCGCTTGGAGGAGAGGGAAGGACGCTCCTTGTTCTGCAGACACACACTCACAGACGTCCACCTGCAGCTCGGAGTCGCGCGGGCCGCGGCGACCCGCCTCCACCCTGCACGCTCCCCGCCTCCCTCGGACTTCAATCCCTTTTCCTCGCACCCTGCCCTTCCGGATTTGCAACTGCAGCGTGGTCTCCACGGCGGCGGCGGCGTGGGCGGCGGAGGCCGCCGAGGCTACACGGCGGCGCAGGCCGGCAGGGAGGCTGGGAGGCGGGAGACGCCGGGGGACTTTGTAGGCACGTTTCCGAATAAACTTTCCAATCGCAGGGGGTGCTGTTGCTGTACATTTTACGTAAAACTGAAAGTATCCCACGCCAGAGTGAAGCCAGCTTTTTGACAGCGGCAGCGTGTGGTGTGTGTGCGCGCGCGCGCGTGTGCATTAAAGAGACAGGGGTTTATTTCCAACAGGTCTTCCCTAATTTCCTGAGAACGTCCGCCGAAAGGCTGGCGTGGGGTTGGGGGGGGGCTGGGGGCTCCGTGGTGAGCGCCTTGGCCCGGGTAACAGGAGGAGCGCGGCCCTGACCCGGGGCGGTCACCCCACCACCATGGCCTCCCCGCTGCTCCTGAGAGCGAGCCGCTCTCTTTTCATTCCCCATTTTCTCTCCCTGGGTATCAGCACAGAAATAGTTGTGCTCTGTCCGTAAGAAACATTTTCTTTTCATTGCTCTGTGTTTTTGCAGTTCCTCTGGATTGGGAGGGGGTGTGTCCATCCCTGGGACCAGGCTCCGGGACCTCCCGCGGCGCCAGGACCACATTCCCTGGGATTGGAACTCTGAGGACTACCCGTGCTTTGTCCTCTGGCCCGCGGCCGCTCGGAGAGGTGGACGCCTCGGCTCCTCCCTCGCCCTGGGACCCGGCGCTCCCCTCCGGGTGCCGGAACGTGCTCCGAGGTTGGCGGCTCGTTCCTATTTCACGGCCTCTCTTTCCCGACCCTTGGGAGCCTCGACTCCGGGCTTCTAGTTGCATCACGACCCAATCTCTTGCCAGGGCGCTCAGTACCCCAGCCCCCCTGTTCGGCCTTGGGGGCGCCCTCCCGACCCTCCAGCCCGGGCCTGCACCGCCTCCTTCGCCCCTGCCCCCTCTCTCCAGGCTGCCTGGGCTCCAGGAGGCCCCAGCGCTGCCCTTCCGGACCTGCCACCCTCCAAACTTGGGCTGGACTCCGCTTCGCCGCGCGCTCCCTCCCACCTCCCCTCGCCCGCTGCGTAGCTGTAACTTGGAGGCTCAGCTCTCAACTTCGGGTGATTTTTCTTTGCTAGCCTCTCCTTGGGCAAAGTTTCCCGAGCGCAGCCGCGGGCTCAGGGCTTTCACTTCGGCCCCGGGCGTCCACACGCGGGGAGCGAGAGCGGCGGCGGCGGTGAGGGGAAGTGGGTGTGCGCACAGAGGAGGGTGTCCGGGAGCAACTCTACCTGGCTTCCCTCCGCCCGCGCTTCCCCGGCCCCGGGCTGCAGCCTCCCCGTACACTCCAGCTTAAAAAAAAAAAAAGAAAAGAAAAAATCTTTCACTTTGGGGTGCACGTGCGGTGTGGGGGGGGGGGAGGAAGCACGTCTTGCTCCCTCCACCCCTACCCCAGCCGCCGCTTTTTTCTCCTCGGGCCACGCCACCGCTTCGGCGCTCGCTGCGGCCACTGGTGAGCCTGCGGCCCCAGAGCCCCCTCCCCTCCGCCTGCCCCTCCCCCGGGGGCCGCGTCTGGCGTCTGCGGAGCCCCCCGCCCCGCACCTCCCCCGCCCCGCACTGGCCATTGGCTTGTCCTGGTCTCTTTTTCATGTCCAGCCCCTGATGTGTGTCCATTGGTGTGAGCTTCCCCTTCCCTCCTCCCCTTCTCTCCTGCTCGCCCTGCCCATGTTTTGTGTGTCTCTGTCCATCCAGACTCCTGACGTTCAAGTTCGCAGGGACGTCACGTCCGCACTTGAACTTGCAGCTCAGGGGGGCTTTTTGCCATTTTTTTCATCTCTCTCTCTCTCTCTCTCTCTCTCCCTCTATCTCTCTCCTCTCTCTCTCTCTCTCTCTCTCTTTTTTTTTTTGCTTAAAAAAAAAAAAAGCCATGACGGCTCTCCCACAATTCATCTTCCCTGCGCCATCTTTGTATTATTTCTAATTTATTTTGGATGTCAAAAGGCACTGATGAAGATATTTTCTCTGGAGTCTCCTTTCTAACCCGGCTCTCCCGATGTGAACCGAGCCGTCGTCCGCCCGCCGCCGCCCGCCGCCGCCGCCGCCCGCCCCGCAGCCCACCATGTCTCGCCGCAAGCAAGGCAAACCCCAGCACTTAAGCAAACGGGAATTCTCGCGTAAGTAACCCAATAATAGTAATAATAATTATTAATAATCACGAGGGCGCGCAGGACGAGAAGCAAGAACTAGGGGAAGAGAGGGGTGTGTGCATGCATTTTAAAATTTTATCGCAAGAAAAACCTCCGAGAGTCGGGATAAAAGAGATTAAAGGGAGGAAAAAAACCTAATTCCATCCCGAACCATAGCCGTGTGTACTTTTGGGACAACACGCACCTTTTAATTTTATTTAATTTTACAAAAATTGACTCCTCTTTCCTGCTTTCCGGTGCTTTATTTCGCTCTTCGAGAAGGAATGCAATGATTTCCCCTCTAATTTTGCAAAATAATGAACAATGCTATGTATGGATGCGAACAACTCTCATGCAAACCTAGGGGAGGTAACTGGTAGGGAAGGGGGGGGTTGCTTCCACTCATCGAAGGAAGGAAAACGGTGGGGGGGGGTGTGATAGGGAACCCGAACCTAAAAAACAATTCCCAGGGAGAAAAGAGGTGAGACTGGCCCTCGGACATCGGCGCGCTCACGGTAAAGTGTGCACAGGGAGGAAAGTAGTCATCTCCACAATAGTGAGAAAGTGGGATTGTGGGAGGGGGCCCCGGGCGCTCTGGAGTCTGCCGAGTGTGGAGAGGGGTCGCGTCGGCAGGGAAAGCCGGGCGACCGGGAAGGAGCGGAGACGCGGTCGGCGCTGCCGCCTTTTGTTCCGGCCCTAGGTGGGTGTTTGTCCCGCTGCCTTTTGTGCCGGCTCCTCGCGCTGGCCCTCACGCGCCGCCGCCGCCGCCGAAGGGCAGGAGCTAGGGCCGGGGGCGCGCTGAAGAGGGAGGGCGGGCGCCCGGGGCGCTGCCGCTGAGTCTGAGGCTGCCCGCCCCTCGCGGCCGAACCTTAGCGGCGGCGAGAAGACGTGCTAAATAAAATAAAATTAGATTAAAAATTAAATAAAACAGGGCAAGAGAATGTAAAATTTCTTGCCCCCAAAACAGAGAAGCCAAACGCTCCGCTGGCCTTTTCTGCGATGCTCTCCTCTTCGACTCCCCCCCCCCCCCCCCCCCCCCCCCCAGCAAAAATCTCACAGTCTTTAGGTAGTGGGGAAAAAAATTACAATTACCTCTTTCCCCAAACCCCTTCAGTAGAGCAGTAGCGGCAGGGAGAGGGAGCGAGGAACTCCCTCCTCTTACTATTTTTTGGAAGATTTTCAAAAAAAGTGGAAGTGGATTTTGATTGGGAAAAATCTCGTGTCTGAATGTTTACAAGCACCGCGTGTGCGGGAGCCTCCTGCCAACAAACAGACACAGGACCGAGAGCGGCGCGGCAGCCTGGGAGCGGGCGGTGGCGGCGGCCGGGCCTCGCCGGGGCCTCGCTTAGCCTCGCCGCGCCCCCGCCCGGCCCGGGATCGCCCACCGGGCTCCTGGCGCCCGCCCGCCGGCACCGCGGCAGGCCATACCGCGACTTCGCGCCGGCGGGGTCCACAGTGCCCTCTCGCCCCCAGTACAATGCTCAGACCGCCTCCTAGCCAACCCGACTTCGAAATTGGCAGGAGGGAAACTCGGCTTTGCAAAGCATTTTTATTTTGCAAAGCAACTGAGAAAGTGCGTTCTGCCCCCCCTCCCCGCCCCCCGCGTCTACTGTCCACACCTTGGGACGGCGGGGAGGCCACCACGTGCTTTCCCTGTCTTCCTCCCACCCGACCTGGCCACCAGTCCCCCGGTTCCCGAGCACTGATAAGCCAGGTAGGGGTGGGTGGGGGTGGATGGGTGGGGGTCCTTCAGGGGAGTAGTATTCAAGTATGCATTCTTTAAGTCCTGGATCCAGGGACTCCGCGCACCCCACTCTTGTTCTTGCCCTCTATCCCGGGCCTGGCTTGGTTGGGGGGTGATGGTGGGAATCCGTGTGAGCCTCTATAAGGGGTGGGTGGGTGGCTGTCTCCGGGCTAGGAGAGTGCGTCTGGAAAGGCGGGTGGTGGGCACTTAGGAAAGTTTGTCAGCGAGGGAAGGACGTGAGAGGGCCCACATCCTTTCCCCTCTTCACTCGTGACCCTTGTTTTAATTTTTGATGCAATTTTAAAGGACCACCTAAACCCAGTTCTGTATTTTTTTAAAGGGGTGGTGGTGGTGGTGGGGGTGCGCACAGTGAATTGAATTTTTCACTTGGCCCTGTAACTTGTCACACACTTTGGAAGCTCCCCCGCCCCGGCACGTTGCGGGGCCCTCCCTCTCCCCACCCCCGCGCATCCCTCGCTCGCCGCTCTCCCCCGCCCCCCACTCCCCCGGCTGCGCCGGATGCGGAGCAGACGCGGCGCGCGGCGGTGTGAAGTTACAGCCCGGCCAGGTACCGGCGGGAAGGAAGGGCAGTGTTCGCAGGACTCGGGAAAGCCGGGCCCTCCTTTGGAAGGATGCATTGGGGGCTCAGAGGACGGACTGAGACCTGCAGTCCTGGCTGCACCTCCCCCCTTATCCCGAGTCCATCTCGGGGTACTGCTGGCTGGGTGGGTTAACCTCCTTCTTCCCCTGTTCCAGAACGGGCTTTAGGTTACGGGACCAGCTTGGAGGGGGTACAGGGGTCGCTCCTTTTACTGGGTGCGAAGAGGGGGCGGGAGCCATTGGGTTCTTCTGGACGCCCCCCTCCCCCATCCTCCGCTCCTTGGGCTGAGTGAGAGCCGTTCGGTCGCTAGGAGGCAGAACAAGATCAAGAAAGCTCAGCGAACTTGAACCTGTACCACATTCCCCCCCCCTTCCCCCGCCCAGCGTTTCTCTGCCGGGGAGGGAAGAGCTTTGCGAGGGTGGGGGTGGGGGAACCGGACGGTTAGGCAGAATTCCCTTTCTCCCCCCCATCACCCCTTGTGCCTTTGTTCTTCATTTTGACTTTAAAAAATGCTTCAGGCCAGGACTGCGGAGAAGCACCCCGCTGCGCCGACACCCCCGACTGCCGAGAGCGGAGCGGGGTGCAGTTCTCGTTTTCTTTTGGGGCAAGCATTTTTGATTGGGGAGGAAAGGGGAGTGCGCGCTCTTCGGTTTGGGGGCAAGGCCATATGGCAGAGATCCGGCAAGTTTGCACTTAGTCTCCAGGTTCAATTTTTTCACCCCCTCACCCCCCCCCCCCCCCCCCCGCTCAAAGCACGAACCACTGCGGCCACCGCGGGCTTGCAGAGCGACTCGGCAGCCCGACCCCTCGCTCCCCCGCCTCCTACAGCGCTCGCTTCGGAGCCCGAAATCACAACAATAGTAATAGTTATCATCATAATGATGCGGGCAAGCAGCGTCATTAATAATGAATAACCGCAGCCGCCGCGGCGCTGCGCACATCGGTGCCCGGAATTGCGGGAGAAATGCTTTTGCAGAGATCTCCCAGAGTAAAGTGTGAGCCAGAGGACACGAAATGCGTTTCAGGAGACGGGCTTGAGGTGTGTGCGGTGATACCGAGACTACACCAGGTTAACCGGCCGAGATTTTAAGCCTCACGTGCTATTTCTCCTAACTGGCAGGCCCTGGGAAGCTCCTTATCCGGCGGTCGGGCTGGATGGGCGTGGAGGCGGCGGCCGGGGCCCCTGGCCGCCCGCCGCCGGTCGGCCCCCGATCCCCGGTCCCTCGGCCCTGCGGCCGCTGCTACACGTGTTCGCAGCGAGCGCGGCCGGAGCCTGCAGCCTGCACGCTGCTCGCTTTGTGCCTCGGAGTCCCGGCGCCCAACTTCACTTTCTGCACAGCCCGCCCCTGCCGGGCCCCCTGCTCCGGGCCTGTCGCCCCTGCCTTCGCTTTTGTTTCTTTGCTTTTCCTCTCAGCATTTCAGTCTCGATTTGCTTCCTTACCTTGTTAAGACAATCAAAGGGAAAGACTTGGAAAGCAAACTTGAAGGCAGATCTCTTTTCCCCTCCCCTCCCCCAACGGCCCTCGTTTCCCTTGCTCCTTCCCTACATTTCTTCTAAGGATTTTTTTTTTCTTTTTAAATTTATTCCTTTCCAACAGCAGAGAGAGGAAAGAGATCTCAGCCAGCCGCTGGGGCATTGAGACATTTCAGTCTGTCTTGCTGTTTCAACGCAGAAGCGTTTTATTTTCTATTTCCTTTTCTAGTAGAGAATTCGCGGCTAATTATTATGATTTTTTTGCCCATTCCCTTCCACTTCAATCCTGGACTCCCCGCTTTGTAGCCGCTGTTTAGGCCAGAGCTTAGAAACCATGGTATTGTGGGGGGCGAAAGAGGATGGAGTCGAATTGAAGGAGGGGGTAAAATGGCTGAGGTTAGGAATATTTTTAGGGAAAGATGAATTTGCATTAAAATACAGAGAAATTATCTGATGCCCAGAAAGAAAATGTTGATTGCCACTGAGAAAAGATGTCAATGCAAATCAGTAGACTACACCAAGAGAATTGTATTTTCATATTTTCTTTGTGCCCTACTTCGTCTGATTTTTAATAATATGACAACATAATAAGAACACGCTCTGGTATATCTCTGAATATCAATAGCCAAATGTTTTCAGGGAGCCCAATGTTAAATGTATTTCATACATTAGGATATAATTCTTGTTAATTAGCAATAATTTACGTTAAGAGCATAGAAAATGTTGAGGTTACAGGTTTTATATCTGTACATTTGATCATCTTGTTATTTTCAAGAACTTTGCCTCCTATAAAATTAATTAGGTGAAATGTGGAGGTGTAATCAGCAACCTCTGAATTACCACTTCATTTCCTGGTTTTGATTGTAAATCAGTTCAGTCACTACATTTAGAAGACTTTAACCAAGTCTATTTTGTACCACATTACCTTTAACTATTTGATACCTAGGAGAATATTTCCACTTAATCCTAAATATTTTCGCTATCAGGCCTTGGGAATAAAAAACCAAATCTTAACAGTGGAGTTTTTTAAAAAATGTTTTTTTGTGAGGAGTCTGTGCACTAGTAACTTTAGTAAAATAAAATATTTTTCCTGAATCTTTCTTCAGTCTGTAAACCACAGAACTCTTCAGTTAAAGCTGAAAAACAACAACAACAACCACCACCACAGAACCCACATTTGTTGGTGTGTGCTTAAAATCCTTAATTCAGATAGCAGGGGTCTGGGAGAATGACTTACCCTATTCAGTTCCTCACTTGGTCAAAATGAAAGCAAATGTAGGAGAAAAATGACATAGAGGCATACTGCATAAGCACTTCCGTTCGTGTCCTTTTATCTGAAAACTATTCATGTGTATTCTGTATTGTATTTATCTTTTGGTCAGTATGTTGGGCAAAGAAACATAAGTGCTTACCTTGCTGTCTTTATTAGTAGGAATATAACCTTCATATTCCTGTGGTGACCTTATGTTAAATTAGGAGGAGTACCAGAGGCTAGAAATTATGACATGTCCTACTTGAGCACAGGTGCAGCTAGGCAGGGCTCTCTCAATATTATTTCACCCAGCACATCTGGGAGTTACTCCAGATCTTCCCCCTCAATATTCAGCCTGGGTAGGGTTGAAATAAATTTAACCTGAGTTCACTGGATTTTTGCACTTTATCAAAATCTGTTCCAATATTCTACACTCAAATTAAAATCTATTTTTTGATTCTCTGTGGCTTTAAGTTCATTAAATGTGAAATTGGCAGCTTGCTAAAGAAGGTCAGACTGATTAACTGTTTAAGACTTGTACATTTTCTGCTTCAGTTTTATAAACTGGCAACATCCTGGCTGTGTTTTGTATTTTGTGATTTTTTTTTTAATAGAATAATAGAGTAAGCTTAAGATTTCAGGAGCAGAGACTTACCAACTCTCTTTTCCCTTTTGTAAGGTTCAACAATGATAGAAACTGCTCCAGTGGATGCTGGAGCATTTTGCTGCAAAGTTTTTTAAAAAAAGGAAACAGGAATGAAAGACATATCTACCTTGTTATACCATCGCTGGTGATTATGTGTGCAGAAATAGTCCTATAATGAAGTGTTTTAGAGCTCATTCAGAAAATTAGTCAACTTTGACAACATGACGCAGAGTATTTCAAGTCTAAAAGAAAGGACTTCTCAGCCTTGTTCTGAAATGTGGCATTTGCTTGACCATTCTGATTTTATGTGATGGGGGCCACGGAGTGCAAACATGTTTAGAATATTTTAGGCTTTCTTCAGAATGAAAAAATGACTAATTGGCTTATTTCCTTAAGTACTCAAAAGTATCCCATTTAGCTAATGTGTCTGAGAAGAATTGCCAGTGAATTTGGGATTTCTTTGATTTTGTGGCACTGCTGAGAGTGAGATCAGAAAGGTTTTTGGCAGTGTGAATTACGCTGTGTTATGATTATTATTTAGATCCGTTTCACGGGTGAATGCAGTCGTTTTCTTATTACCGCGGTGTAAATGTGGCACATTTTCTGTGTGATGTAGTAGCTTCCTAATTTATAAAGCTATGTCTCTGTATAACTTAGGAGTATATACATTCATACACAAAGGGTCTGTGTGTTTATTCACCTCTCCTTTTATTCTTTGGCGCAATAGACAACTTAATCTATAGGAAAAAAGAAACTTGGTTTCCATCTATGTTTTTACAAAATTTTTTTGGGGGGAGTAGTAATTGTTTAAGCTTTCTTCATGTCCCCTGCATTACTTTATTTAACAGTCATATTCTTCCCAAATTCACAAACCAGACACATTTGTAGTATGTATGTATTTCTGGAGTTTTGAAAGTTAGACTTGAAATATATGATGATTTCTTTAAATATATGATGATTTGCCTCATTGATAAATTTGCTTTCTTGCTGACCACCTTTGTAGGTTTTTACATTTTAGGTGTTCACATTTTCTGGGGATTAAGTGGAAGAGCCTAGAAATACTTTATATAATTTGGTGGGATGGGATGGTGTTGATCTTATATATCCCCCTTTTCTCCTTTCTAGCTCTCTAATAATTGTGCTTTTGTTTCTCCAACCACAGCCGAACCTCTTGAAGCCATTCTTACAGATGATGAACCAGACCACGGCCCTTTGGGAGCTCCAGAAGGGGACCATGACCTCCTCACGTGTGGGCAGTGCCAGATGAACTTCCCATTGGGGGACATTCTTATTTTTATCGAGCACAAACGGAAACAATGCAATGGCAGCCTCTGCTTAGAAAAAGCTGTGGATAAGCCACCTTCCCCTTCACCAATCGAGATGAAAAAAGCATCCAATCCCGTGGAGGTTGGCATCCAGGTCACGCCAGAGGATGACGATTGTTTATCAACGTCATCTAGAGGAATTTGCCCCAAACAGGAACATATAGCAGGTAAATGAGAAGCAAGGAGAAAAGCTGTTTGCATGTTTTCTTTCCATTTTCAGAGGCGCCGTAGCCAAGCACTAAGGAGTGGTGAAGTGCTTTCTGTATTTCTCCATGTGACTGTCCATGGCAGCCCTGTAATGTTAAAATAATCGTTCCGATTGCTTACGTCCAGAACACAATATAAAAATAAATATTTTCCACTTCACTGAGTCAGATGTAGGCGGAATAGGTACACACACCTGATACCCTCTCTCTGAATCTGCTGATTCTGAATTTCTTTCCTTTTTTCGCCCCTTCTCATTTTTAAGTGTTGAACCTTATGACACCTAGCCCAATTTCCAATGTTTCTTTCCAGCCTGGGGGACAAGTCAGAGACAAAGTGGCCACATAGGCACTTGTAATTTGGCCAATGACCTGTTTTGAGTCGGAATACCTGGGCAGGTCTCTCTCGGGGTCCAGTTAGTTCTCAAGGCTTCTGTAAAGTGGGCTGGGCTGGCAGGCCTTTTGGAAAAGGGTGGAAAGAGTTAAGTGAGCTTCAGGTCTAGCCTTGGATCCATATTGGCTGTCAGCCCGTATGGGGCTGTAATTAAACACAGCCCCGTGTTGGGATGACACCGTGACCTTGACTTTAAGATGCCATTTCGACTGGCCAGGCCAGAGTAGAGAGGGCAGTTGCTGAAGCGCACAGACATGCTTACTCGAAAAGTTTAAGGGCATGTTGGAAATTTCAAAAGGTTGGTTTGACAGGAACGGCTGCTCCCTGCAGCCTGCCTCCTCAGCTAAATGATAAATGCTTCTCTGTGCTCTCTCTTGTCTCTGATGTGGTTTTGACAGATGTATCTTGATTTTGTTTGTGGTTTACACAACCACATGTCACCCTTACAAATGTCCAGTCCAGACTTCCACTGTTTCTGCTATAATACAATGTAAAAATTCTCTTGGAAAAATACAATACATTCAACAGCCCTCCTTCATTTGGTTAATTTTAGGGGAGAGGTAGCTAGGTGTGTGGGTTTTTCAGCAGCTCAAGGGAAAAGGAATTAACCGCTAACAGAGGGACTTACATCCCTACTCTTGAGTGATAAACAGCAACACAATATAGTGGTCCTTAACACACTTTCCCTGAAACCACAGTGATTTAACACATAAGACAAAGTGAATGCAGATTCTGTGGTGACAAAAACGGCTTGCCTGTTGGTGGATCACTTTCCTCTGTTTTCCCCATTCCCCTCCCCCAGAGACAGAAGATTTGTTCAGTTTTAGGGATGATAGTGCATATAATCAATTGATTCACTGGAACTTATGTCTCTGACCTAGTTTGACCACAAAGTTGAACTGCAGTAGGTCAGTGGTCCAGAGGGGATTAAATGTCATATTATTTCTTTTCTCCCCCTCTGCAATTTGATCATTAAACTCAAATGTGGCATTTCTTTCTTTCCTTTTTTTTTTTTAAATGCTTCCTGCAGTAGTATTCAGATAATTTTCCTTTAGTGAAATGAAAAATCTACTTCCAGGCAAGCTGCATTTACAAAATATTTTTCTCAAACCCACCCCATTCAGCTTATGTGATGTGGAGGTTAAGATTCTATTTCCCCCCCTCCTCCCACCCCCCAGTAGGATATGGCAATGACCATTTCCATGTGCTGTCTTGTGACTGGAAGGAAAATGAACAGAAGTGTAAGGCATGATTAATGAAGCAAGAGCAAGCGGAAGGGGATTTGTCATCTTTGGAGATCCAAAGCCTTTCTAAATCACCAAATATGGAGTAACACTTGCGTGATGTAACATCGTATTTACATATCGAGCTGCCCATTTAAAAGACAAAACACAGTGTCTGTCAAGCAAGAATTAAAACCACACTTCTTACTGAGGTCCCAGATAGGTTATTCGGTCTCAGATTAAGCAGCTCAAAAATTCTGTGCTTCTGTACTTAGAAAAAGAATCTAAAAGTTGAGGGAAGGCCTGATAGTAAAGGCTTTTTGCTTTTACAGTTGTGAATCTATGTAGGGAGAGAAAAGATATTTTCCTTAACTCTGGTTGTCATAAAGGTTCTATTATTATTTTTTAAAGAGGTAGTACAATAACAGAGCCTAGAGAAGCAAAAAAAAAAAAAAAAGGCAGCTCTAAAATATGTTTTATAAGGCTAATATGAAATAATTTCACTGAGATGGAAAGCTAAGTAAGGTATCTAAGATATTCAATGGGTGCACAAGTGCTTTGACCCAGGTGAGGTAAACTGCATGCACGAATAATTACAAAGCCTTGATTTCTTTCATTGTGTTTAATCACCTGTTCCCACTATGGAATTGGCTGAACATAAATAGCATGGTCACATCTCAAAGCGAGATGTCAGTAACTGGCATCATGACTTCTCATAATTCACAGTAATGAATTAAGAGTTTCCTATGGTGAAATTAACATTCTACCATGGCACATAAATTAAGATGCCCTGGTCCTCAGGTGCCTCTGAAGCAAAGTTCTGGAAGATGGCTGTGTACCCCCAACCCATTTCTCTCAAGCACGTCTTCACAATTCGAAGTCAGCTTTTCTTTTTATGGTGAGGAAGGAAACAATAAGAGTAATCATTCAGTGGATATTTGAATCGTGTCACAAAAAGAAAGGAGAAGCAATGCTCTGTATTAGGAAAGAGATATATTGATGAATCTCTAGAAGAATATGTTTGGCAACCACATAAAAGGTAGTCATTTAAGTGCGTTGTGTAGGAAAGGCTTTATTAAAGTGATGTAACTTGGATTTGAGCTCACTGTGTGCTCTGTGCCATCTTATAGGCAGGAAGCAGGAATAAAACAGTGACAGATCTCCCTGAGATAGATAAAGCTTAGAATTCGGGGCTTTCAAATATGGGAATAAGGTTAGAGATCTTTAAATCTTCAGTAAACGGTATGCATTTTGACTGTACATAGGCCCCTTGAAGCTGAGTATTTTTTAGAAAGGGTGATTTTTACCTGGCAAATAGATGGGTATGTGCCCATCACTTCACCCATGTACACATGTGTAACATGTACACACATATACAGTCATCAGGTTGCTTTTTCATTTTATTCGAATAGCCAATATATTATATGACTGTGATTCATTGAGACCATTGAAATAGTGTTAATTTAACTGGAAATTAGCAGGTTACACTGTGTGGGGCCCAGTTCATCAATTTGTGTGTCAAATATCCACCATCAGACATCAGCAGCTTTTGACTGGCAGTCAGGGCTTTTAATAGGCGTTCCGTCTTGTTTTCTACTCTCATATTTTATGAGGGGGAAATGTTCACTGGAGATTAGTGAATATAAAACTGCTGTTCATTTATAAAAAAGGCCAAATAATAGAGTCAGATTTGAGGTTTTGGCTTATTGCAAATAGAAATCTTTAAATTAGGATTGGGCTATTATAAACTTAAGCTTTTTGAGAAAATAGGAGAAAATATGACAAGTTCTATAAAATTCAGTAAAGTCTACTAACATTTTTTTCTCCTTGAAATCATGAACAGAGACATTTATATCAGGGTATTTAAAAATTATTTGCCTAGTCAATATACTCATATCTAGATAATAATATGTAAGACATATCTAATGAAGGGAGAAATACTAATTCAGAACAGAAATACATTAGCATGTTACTAAAAGTAAATCAAGTATAACATACTTATGCTTTTTAGAATTTAGAAAATCAGCTTGCCTTTTCTCTTTGAGCCCATTCTAATTCTTTCCTAATTCAGACTGAACAGGAGAGTGTACTTGTATACTTTACAGTGTAATTGTAAATGAGACTATAAATTATAGTATCCTATTATGACTCCTTATTTTTCGCTTTTCTTTATTTGTATGATTCTGAATAAAAACTACTGACTGCTGAAGTGAATTTTTAGTATAGCAGCTAAAAAACAGCAACAACAGCATCCCCCTCTCCAACATACTGATTAACATTTTATTTACCTTCAGAATCCACGGACTAGAGAATATTGTTTCCTAGTAAATACCTAGGATTTTCACTGGCAGCCTGTGTTTGTGAGACCACTACCCAAAGACTCATGTTCATGAAACTAGGAACCCTATATACAAGCTGTATTTGTAAATAAGACAGAGAAAGGTTGTGAACTGGCAGCTTGGATGTTTTGTCAAAGTGCAATGTCAGAGAAACTCTTTCTAAGACAAATTGTAAATAGAACTGTCACAGTGATTGCATGATTGAGCTGCAGAAGTGTCTTACAATTGTTGGCATTGTCAGAGGACTTTTGAAAGCTTAATTAAACACAGTGGCCCACATGGCTGCTAAATTTACTTCGGAAAGCCAAAAAGGAAAAAAAAAATCTAAAAGGTGGAAGATCCCAAAGATCCCAAGTTCTTCAGACAGTATCCCTTCGATGACACAGAAAAGATGCATTGTGTATTTTTCTAGTTGTCTTTTATCAATAATAGTTTTGAGAATAGGGCCACGTGATATGAAGATCATCCTGTGTGTGATGTGGCGATTGTGTTAGTTTTTCTGTCTCCTGCTGTTACAGACAGTTAATGTAAAAATGGCCTTTTATTGGAAACACAAATATGTATTCACTTCAAGAACAGGAGCAGAGGGAGAAAGTTTCCCTCCCATTCTCTGTGTTTATTCAGTGAAAACTTAAAAAAAAAAAAAACAAACGGTGCTGTAATTTCTTAAATCACCCCATCCCTTGTTGTGTTGTGAGTTGTGGCTTTTAATTTAAAGGATCTGAAATCTGTTTTGCACACCTTTCTCCTGGCGAATGTGGCCTTTAATGGTGGAGCTGCCCATGGGCTGGGAAAATGCAGCTGGGTGCGGAAACGCATCGGCAGTGTCAGCACAGCAAACCTTAAGCTCAGGGAAGGGGCGAGTTGGATGCATATTAATGGCACATTTTAGACTCCTGGAAAATCATTACTTTCACACTGCAGCGTCAGTGTAGTTTGACTAATGTGGGAGGACTAATTGGAGTGTATAACAAACATGCAAATCCTAGGGAAGCATTTTTCAGAATC